GTTCTTGTATATAAATTAATTTACATTTCTTAAACTAGACATCGATAATAATCAATTTACATCGAATGTATAAATAGACATTATAAATATAAGGTGTAAACATAAATATTTTATTTAGAAGTTGTAATTTTTTTATTACATAATAACTAATAATAAAATCTAACAATTATTTCCACGTAAAAAAACTATTCGCCGAAAGAGCTATTTATCGCCGCTGTTTTGCGATATATATATATATATATATATATATATATATATATATATAAATATATATATATAATATACAAAAAGCCGTTTGCCAACGTTCCATTCCTTCTCAACGGTCACAAACGGTCCAATTTTTCGAATTTTGCCACCGGTAGAAACTCACTGTCGTTATTATACCGACTGTGAAAAAACACGTATGGCGCGGTGTTTACCACCGGTGAAACCCTCCACATCCACATACGTCGGTCAAACCTTCATGACACCATATAGCCTAGGAAAAGTCAATAAAAAAAAGTTAAAAGAAAATTGTAAAAGAAAAACATTAAAAGGTTAAAGTTTTGGATTTTCTTTTAATAAAAAGTTTACTATGTATAAAAAATAGTTTAATAACTAAGTGTGTGTACAACCTTATATAATAAATTATCCCAAGTCATTTATAAGACATCAAATCAGCAAAAAAACCTATATTAACCGTGATATTGGTATATTTCAAACACACTAAACAAGTTTAATGGTAAATCAAATATAAAAACCTTTTAGTGACTAAATACATACACATGGCAAAGTTCATCATCCTTACATGTCATTATTGGACCAAATTTTTGCTATTTAGCTTGTGCAAACTTTTTGAACAGTGTGATCAAATTGACACACATAAATGGTTAAAATATACACTTCAATATCAAATGATATGATACAGTATACGTTTTATACAGCAATTTATTTACAAAATGCACGATGAGTTTATAATTTATACATCACAATTCACAAATCAATCTACCATAAATTCCATTGCCAGAAAACCTTGTCCACAATTCCCCCACCACTCTTAACAGCAATCTGTAATGATTCAGACGCAGGTGGGACCCCCCAAAGTAGTGGCACAGCAACCGTCATTGTTAACTTTTCATTCAAACCCCCCTTGCTAGCCTTCTCAGCTACAACCACCTGACATAACACAAGACATGACATAACAGGTTATACTGTTGTTTGACATGAACTGATGAGACTGATGTCAGTGACAAGAAGATTTACATACCTCTCCACCGTGCTCCAAAACGGTGTCTTCAACTATATCACTTAACATTTCAATGGAACGACAAAACCCAATGATGCAAAGTCTTCTTCCCATATCAAGACCCTAAATTGAGCATTTCTTATTAATAAACAATTTGAAGGGTTTAAGAATAATAAAATGTGACTATTTTACATTTGTGGCTGCGATATCAAAGAGTGCACCCAAACATAGGCCTTGAGCTGGATCCATGTAATTGCTTTCTTTATATTGTTGAAATCTTGGGGAGGTTTTCACCTTGGATTGCTTCTTCTGATTACCCAAGAAACACAAGATTTTTCAGGAAAAATAATAGTTTAATGGTGTCAAAGAATGAAAGTATTGATCTTGAATTTACATGTGCTGAAGGGACACGTTTAGGGACCATTAATCCTCCAATTTGAACAAGTCCATCAGAAGTGAAGAGTGTGATTGTTTCCTGTTGCTCCCATTTCGATACCTGGAAACGTGTTAGGGCAATTTAGGTATGTTTTGATTAACCGATTAGTGGAACAGTTGCAGTTGCCTTTTACTTCTTATGGGAGGAATAAATGCAACCTGTGAATCCCTAATACAAAAGCAAACCTTGCAACGGAAAGAATGAACGATTCGAAATCACATATTGTTATTGATGTTGATCGGATCGTCCAAGTACAAATTCAAAATCATGGAAGTTCTACAAAGTTTACATGATTCAACACAAACTAGACAAACAGAGCATACAAGGAAAACGCTTAAACAATCAATTAAGGCGACGACATTTCCTCACTACGATTCATGTAATCCAAGTAAATTTGCAACAGAATTAAAAAGGGATCGGAAAATTACTAAAAAATCGCAAACGTACCACTATCTCCACCAGAAGACTCCCAAGGATAGAAGCCAAAAGGATCATCAGTAGAGAAATTGCCGGAAGAATTGGAGGATGATTTGGCGGTGAATGAAAAGGAACGGGATTGAGAGGGGAGTGAGTGACGATCGGAAGAGAATCTATGGAGAAGTGTGGATGAAGAAGATGGAAAGACATCGTTAAAGCGAGAAGTAGAAGGAAATGTTGAAATGGAAAGTGCAGAGGAGGAAGCCATTTTAGGGCAAGATCAAAGGAATTTTGATGGGGAAAAATTGGGGATGAAGAAAACAAATGGAAAGGAGAAGTGGCAAAGTTCGTCATGTGCCACACAAAATACGGCTGACGCGTGGACCGTCTATTGGACAGAATATTTTAAATTTAAATTTAATCATTTTGATTTTGTAATTTTAAATTAGAGAAATTAAATATCCTCTAAAGAATGACATTTTTGGTTGTTTAATAAGAAAGAAATTGATTAGCCATATATGACTCGAAATTTTGTATGGATCTATTAATGATCATATCATTTTGTATGAATTAATGTTGACAGATTCGATAAATGTAGTGATCCTATAATTTACAACTTAAATTAATAATTAAATAATCTAAACCAATAAAAATGAATAGTTTAAGATATACACGAGAATTCGACAAAACTCACTATCCCATGTTATATTGGTATTTTTTGAACAATTTCAAAAAGTTCAATGATGAATCGAACACAAAAATAAATTTTGTGACTGAATCTTAACATATACAAAAACAAAAGTTGGTTACACTTATAAGTTATTATCCCTAAAATAATTAATCATCAATCAAATTGTGCTATATAATCTTATATTCACCGTCTTGAAGACTCATTCTACTATGTGGAAGTCTTGTTCCTCTTTTTCTCTGCATTATTCTTCTTCTCTGCATTATTCTTTAGTAGCAAACAAATAATCTTTTTATTGTCATTTAATACTGACAAGAAACAAGCACTTGTTACACAACAATAACAAAAGTAGTTTGTCCATCGGCCGTAGCGGTTTCCTCTATTTCGAGGTTATAGGGGGAAAGGGTTTGCATTTGACGATGATACTAAGTAAAATTTAAGGAGTTGTATCACAAACCCTTCTTCTAGTCACCCTTAAACAAGCACTTATGCCTCTTCGAATTGCAAATAAAGAGTCATTTGTTTCAGATGATAATCTTTCTCTCAAAATACCATAACCATGTTCAATAGCATTTATAAGTTAAACCTTTCTTCTTTCCATAACTCATGCCAACGTGAAAATCCACTAAACAACGTCCAATACCCCATGATATGGAATCAAAAATCATCAAGTAATAGTATATGCAACATCACAACGACACAAAGATAGTATTCATCTATGAATATTGATATGTATGGCGATATTATTACATATGTAATATAAAGTATATTAAAGATACAATACCCTTTTTTGTTGATAAAAAACAAAAGCTCGCCCTCTAGATCATATATCACAAATGCAAATACAAAATACTAAAATTATATTAAATAACATCTTCAAAGTTTAGATAGAACTTTCTGTCTAAGTTCCCTTCTCAAAATCTTTCCTGAAGCAGCCTTTGGAATCACTTCAATGAATGCTACCTTCCTTATTCTTTTAAAAGGTGCAACCTGTTTTGCGATAAAACTTTGAACCTCTTCCCCACTAAGTGAGCTTCCAGCCTTAATTACAACATATGCCATTGGGATCTCGCCTTCTTCATCATCAATATATCTACAAGATAAAAAATAAATATCATATCATGATTTCAATTCCAGTATTAAAAAAAAATGTCAAAATTAAAAAATTTATATAAAATCCTACTTACGGAACAACTGCAGCATCCATAATTTCAGGGTGAGAAACTAGCAGCCCTTCAAGCTCTGCAGGTGCCACCTGTCAAGTGCAAGAAAGATGAAATAGTTAAAAACCAAAAAAAAAATATCATCTGTAAATCGATAAAGTTTTAAACTTTAATGAAATTACCTGATACCCTTTATACTTGATAAGCTCTTTTAATCGATCCACAACATATATTCTTCCTTGTTCATCAAAATAACCAAGATCACCTGTGTGCAGCCAACCTTGTTTGTCTATGGTTTGCTCTGTGGCTTCTTTGTTATGGAAATATTCTGTAAAATAATAGCCATTTATGTGTTCTTGATTCATGGGGATGAATGCTTGTAGAAAAAACATAAATCCCAGAATAAAAGGATTTACCTTTCATCAAATTTGGTCCACGAACCCATATTTCCCCCAATTGCTTAGGCGGAAGAGGTTTTAGAGTTTCTATATGAATGATTTTAGATTCCATTCCTGGACAAAGTACTCCAGATGAACCTGAATTGAGAAATCCTGCCCTTGTATTCTCGATTGATATAATTCCACCTGTTTCTGTCATTCCATATCCCTACCGAAATACCAAACAGATTTGATATGTGTATTTGAAATGGAGATAGTTTTTGGATTTTGGATAACTTACCTGTAAAATCTTTGCTTGAGGAAAAATTTTGGAGCATTCATCCATGGTGTCCTTGCTTAAAGGTGCTGCACCGGTCCCAATCTCCTGCAAAGATGAGACGTCGTACCTTCTGACAACCGCCGGCTGTTTCACCAGCGCCACCACAACAGGCGGTGCTGTGTAAAGGTGTGTTACCTTGTACCTCTGTATTGCATCCAGAGATTTCTCCAGCTCAAACCTCGCCATCACGACTGAGGCGTTCCCTCTCTGCAACTGTGCGTAGGTGAAGGTGATCAATCCCATGATGTGGAACAACGGGACCACGCATAGAAACACGCTTCTCCCTTCCTTATAGAATTCCTGATCGGATGTCACCATTAACGCCGTCGCAATTATGCTCCGATGAGTCAACACCACTCCTTTGCTCAACCCGGTTGTACCGGAAGAGTAAAGTATCGCGGCGACAATCGGATTGACAAACGGAGGGAGACAGAGCGGCATGGTTACTCGATTTCGCTACTAAATCTGAGAAGTTTCCCAGATCAATTATCGGCAGATTGAAGCCGTTGACCTTGGAGAACAGCTGGTCAACCGTGATAATCAGCTTAGGTTTTGAATCGCTGATTTGGTGGGAGAGTTCCTTAACGGTGTATAGGGGATTAGCGGTGGTAGCGATGGCGCCAATGGATGTAACGGCGAGAAAGGCTACAGGGAAGAGGATGGAGTTCGGAGAGAAGATCAGAACGACATCGCCTTTGGAGATACCGTAAGTGTAGTGTAGTGTCTGTGCGAAATCGGAGATTTTTCGTTTGAGCTGGGAGAAAGTGAAGATTTGATGGGTGTTAGGGTCGATTAAGGCAGGGCGATCGGAGTAAGCGGAGAGGTTGCGGAAGAGAAAATCGACAATGGAGGTGGTGGGTGATTGTGGAAGGGGGACGGGTGGTCGGGGAGAGCTGTAGATTCCGGTGTTAGGATTGTAAAGAGAGTGGGGGTTTTGATGATCCGCCATTGTTGTTTGCTGAGAGAAAGGACGACAAAGAAGGGAATATGACAAACAACTTATACAGTTTTCACAAGACTACAAATTTCAATTTGTCCTAGTTTTCTTTATTCAAAGTCGTGAAACAAAAAGTCTTTCTTATTAATTTCAATATGACAACTTGGAATTCTATCTTTTAAAAAAAATCCGATTATAATCGATTCGATCGATATACGTCTATAATAGTCGCAATCACCAAAACCTTTTGGGTTACTTTTTATGAATTAATAGGTACCAATTATCTTTTGTGAAAATATTTGGTTATTTTTAACTTTTTTATGACTTATTCTTAAAGTCATCTTAGTTGTTCAAAAAACGTTATTTTGATAGGTATAGTTCTCTATGAGGCTGCGGCTTTTATGGTGGGTTAATGACTTGATAACTAAGAAACTATGACATATGTATACATTTATATCTTTTTATTTATATGATTAAGTAGAAAGTGATGTTTAAAAACAACTAGTTATGTTATAACTAGGGGGTGTTATCATAATTGTTCAAACTAAATTAAAATTTTATTTGAACCGGCTAAAGTACAATTCAGTTAGATCAAATTTTTACAATTTGGTTTTCAAAACACATTTGAAAAAAAAAATAATAATAATAATAAATAATAATAATAATGAAAACCAAAATCAAACGAACATTCCTAGTCATATTGATGCCTTTTGAGCAAAACATAACATTTTAATGGTATATTGTGTATATAAATTAGACAGTGAAGGTATCCACATCCCTTTCAAGACATGTTTCATTCTTCATCCAAATCGATGTGAGATCAATTGCAGGTAGTCACTCACCTTCACCTCCCGCCTTTACAATGTTCAACATCCATGTCGAACACATTGAGGTATGCCCTAGCTCTGATATCAATTTGTAACACCATAAATTTCAAAGCATATTAAATAATAAAAATAATTGTTTTAAAATCTCTCTGAATCAATTCTAATTCTTATTATTGTCTAAACTATAGTGGAAGCAATAAAAAAAATATGGTATTTGATTGAAGAGCTTTGGATGTTATGTCTTTGTGAAAAACTTTTATCCTCTTCTAGATTAAAATTTTCTCATTGTCCTTCCCACTGTCGCTTGCTATAGGATTTTTTGGATTACGCAAATTTAATGTCTCTTCTTAATAGGGAGGCCTATGGTCTAGTGAGTTCGTGCTACACATAGATGGATACATTAAAAAAAATAGTTTTATCATACATTTACAATACAAAGCACATAGTAGTAATATCACACGATGGCATAATTTAAGAGAGCGTTTAATTATCTAGAGAAAGAACCAAAGGTTCATTCCTCTTTCCCCCCTTGGCACAACATATCCATTGTACTCAAGTATTTTAAATATCAAATGAAATGAATATAACTCTTAATTCCCATCCCCACCAATCACACCCATCTGTCATGCTCACACCTATTAAACACTCAATCGTTCCTACTAAATACGTCATCCCAAGAATTCACTCAGAAGATAGACAAGTTCAAATAACATTTGCATGAAACTATAGATATCGTAACACATACATAAATCAATAAACAATTAAAATCGCATATAAACCACATTTTGCATGATAAACATTTATGTGTGAACAACCACATTACACGAAAAACTCACCTCGTATGTGCTAGGTCTTAACTAAATCTTGTCACACTACTCGCACCCTACATTCCACAAACAAAATTTTCTAAAGCCATAACCCTAACAAAACACATTACATGTTTATTTTGGTTCAACTATCTACCAGTCTAGTTCAACCGACCAATAATAATTGTTCATTTACGTCAAATAAAATGTCAATAAAAACTTTAGTATAAATACTATACCCTTTTTTTATGTCCCCATTTTCAAATTAGTAAGGTTTCACTCTTAAAAATAATACTCAAAAGTCAAAACACATACCCTTTTAAAATACAAAAATTATGATTTTTAGAAAAATAATAATAATAAAGACTGAAAGTTATTAAAGCTACAGGAACCATTTTTGTAATCCTTATTTCCCATATATAACGTAACATATTTAAAGGATATATGAATCGACCAAATATTAACAGTTAAGGGACCTTTTATGTAACTTCAGTTTTCAATTTAAAAGAATCAGTTTTGTAGAATTGAAGTTGATGAATTTTATTTTATTAGTAAAAATCAACAGATTATCCAACTTTAGGCGCTAAAAGAGTAAATTCTAGTTTCTGAAGAAAAAAAAAAAAAAGTGTATTAGGCAGAGCTCACAAGACTCGGATCGGAAAGACTTTCAACCACGTGACCTCCTAGGTTTGAGTGTTTGACTATTCAGCTACCAAGACTTTTGGTACATTTTACTATATATTTTTTTTTTCAATTTATTTTACGCTAAACCCACGCAAAAAAAGAGACCCAAATTCACATTTTTATTTTGAACCTAGTCAAATGAATATGTACAATAATCATTAATCATCACCATTTCTTATAACATGTACTCATTACTAATTATCAAAAATCAATTCATAACAAGATGAATTTCTACGTCTTTATACCAAAAATTACTACTCGTCCGAATAAACACATGAGGTCGAACCAAAACAAGAAAAGCTTGCATATAAACCTACTCCAAAAACCAAATCCAGCTTGAATTAGAGGATTATACTTTAATTTGATAAGAACTTCAAAGATGTTCAAGAACTTCTAACCCCCATATATCCCTTGATTTTTAATGTTTTCTTGCATCTTAGTGTGTTTTCACATAATTTTCAAGCTTTATATAATGTCTACATTTACTTACAAGCGTTATAACTTCTTAAATCAATTGAATTTAATGGCTAATCAAGGATGACAGTTTTTTTTCTTTAATTTCATAGTCAATTAGTTTCTCGGAAAATTCAGCATAAATATTTATATTTCTATTAACTTTGGACATATATAAATATATACATATGTTGTATATATAATTAACTCTAAGTGGGTTTGTGTTCTCCTTCGTGAGAACTTCGAAACGATATATTATATGTCCAAAATGGAGTATATGTGAATGAGATATCAATACTCAAAGACGGGTATTTGATAAATAATGTTAGCAAATAGATGAATGTGGGAATCGACCAAACTCAACTAGGTTTATAAAGTTGAATGCATGAAAGGCTTACAAGCTTATTTCTATGGTTTTACTTCAAGACCTACCCGCGTGCAGGGCGTGCAAATCTTGGATTTCGTAGACCAAAATCACCGAACTTGTGCACGACCTGCGCACACGAATGCAGCTCCGAAAACTCGGGCTTGCGCAACCCTCGTTTTTGCTAAACTTGACAGTTTTGGTCCCTAGTTTAAATTTTGTAACGGATGCATTAATTACGTATTTATTGACATTTAATGTCTCAATCAATTCTGTATCACAAATTGTTTGTTTATGTTACATGTTCAACTATAAGGAGATCTCCACTGTCTCATTCAACACACGAATGAAAATACTCTCTTCCTCATCCTTCTCTGTACGCCTGCTTCCGGCGATTCTTTCAGGCAAGTGGATATATCTGGCAGTACACATTGTTAAGGTTGTTGTACCATGGGAACAAACAACGAATCTGTTTAAGGGAATCGAGTCCAACTCGAGCCTCAACCACTACGTTTACTACTAACCTTATTATTACAGGAATATACAAAGAAGAAAAACGAAGTCCTACACTAACAAGTTTCTCTCAGTTATACTCCACTAGTTATAAGACTCAAGTATTACATGAGTTTATTTTAAAAAAAATAATAAATATAAATGTCTAAATATTTGAGAAGTTTGAATTTATAAGAAAGATGACAAAAATATTGAATTATTAAAACTGAAGTGTTTTTCTCTTTAAATTTAAATAAATAATTTAGATAAATAAAAAAAATGACGTTTGGAGTCCCTTTTAGCTTTTGGAAAAGTTAGAGTGAAAGACCTAATGGATTAAGGACTTAAATCTTTGGATTGTGGCTTCAGACTGTGCTCACGACGGGAGACTGAAAATTCTCATTTTTTGTTGAGCTTCTTGGGGCTCACGATGTGACGGATGGATGTTCACGTCTTGAGGTCAACTCCAGAGATTTTCCATGACTGAGTTGGCTGAGTTGGGTCGAGACGAGTTGAAATCGGACTGACTAGACTCTCACAACGTGACCAAGGGCTGGGCAGGACATGAGGCTGGATAATTGGCATTGTGGGTTGTTGACTTTGACTTCGGCCGTTGACTTTTGGTATGGGTTGACTTTTGGTCAAATTTCTATTTTTAGAAGGTAGTCTTGGGGTTTACCTTGTGTGGATTGTTAGGAGATGTTTAGCACCCATCATTTGGTAGAGAGAGAGAGAGAGTGCGTGCAATTAGTTATGGTCGGTGTGGTATTGAGCTGAGTTCTAGTCGGCTATGTGAGTCAGGTGAGTCTCCTCACTATATGTTTAGGTCGAAGGCACCAATGTCGTCCCACTAGAATGTGTTATGTAGGATGTTATCTGTCTTTGTGACTCATGTATTGATGTGATGGGTTAGGCCTATTGGCATGAGTGGGTTGGGCCCATTGTATGGTGGCTAGGCCCGTAGTATGTTGGGCTAGGCCCATAGCATGTTGGGTAGGCCCATTGTATGTCGGGTTAGGCCCATCTGTATGCAGGGCTAGGCCTATTGATTTGGAAGGACTAGGCCCATTATTGTGGGTTGGGCTCAATATACGGGCTAGGCCCAATGATATGTATGGTATGTGGTATTTTGGGGAACTCACTAAGCTTTGTGCTTACGGTTTCATCTTTATGGTTTCAGGTACTTCCGGTTTCAAAGGGAGAGAGTTATCTGAATCGACTATTTGTGATTTTTTACTCTGATGTTTAAATACTATATTTCACCTTGAATGGTTTTGGGAACAAAATGTTGTATGGATTAATGTTTTAAAAAAATGAAATTTTATTATGAATTTTTTTGACATTACAAGTCGGTATCAGAGCCTTGGTTTGAGGGATTCGCGCACACTCTCAGGTGTGATTAAACTCAAACTGAGGAATTGATGATCTTTTTGAAAGGAAATAAAATTTTTAAAATATTTTTATAAAGAAAGAGGGGGT